CACCATCGCTAAGCAACAGAATAAAGGAGGCAGTTAGAGGTAAAAAGAGATCTTTTAAAAACTGGAATAGAGGATGTTTTGGAATAAATTAATATATTAAACAGTAGTAAATCACCAGGACCAAATGGTATTCACTCAATAGTTCTGAAGAAACTTAAATATGAACTTGCAGAACTTCTAACTGTGGTAGGTAACCTAACGCTTAAATCAACCTCTGTACCAGATGACGGGAGGACAGCTAATGTAGCTAATGTAACACCTATTTTAATAAAGGTTCCAGAGGCAATCCTGGCAATTACAGGCCAGCAAGCCTAACTTCAGTGCCAGGCAAATTAGCTGAAACTATAATAACGAACAGAATTATCAGACACGTAGATGAATAGCATATGTTGTGGAAAAGTCAACACGGCTGTGTAACGGGAAATCATGCCTCACCAATCTATTAGAATTCTTTGAGGGGATAAACAAACATAAGGACAAGGGGGATCCAGTGGATATAGTGTACTTTCAGAAAGCCTTTGATGAGGTCCCTCACCAAAGACTCTTAAGCAAAGTAGGCAGTCATGGGATGAGAGAGAAGGTCCTCTCCTGAATCAGTAACTGATTAAAAGACAGGAAACAAGAGGAAGGAATAGCTAGTCGGTTTTCACAGTGGAGAGAGGTAAATAGTCAGGTTCCCCAACAATCTGTACGGGGACCGGCGCTGTTCAACATATTCATCAATGATCTGGAAAAAGGGTAAACAGTGAGGTGGCAAAGTTTGCAGTCAATACACAGTTACTCGAGTTCATTAAATCCAAAGCGGAGTGTGAAGAGTTATAGTGGGAACTCACTAAACTGGGTGACTGGGCAACAAAATGGCAGATGAAATTCAATGGAGATAAATGCAACGCCATGAACTTGAATAACCAATTCACAACTGTACATACCGAATGATGGGGTCTAAATTAGCTGTTACTACTCAGGAAAAGTAGTTGCATCTTAAGAAGTGAGGTTTTTTACCCACAAAAGCTTATGCCCAAATAAATCTGTTAGTCTTTAAGGTGCCACCAGACTCCTTGTTGTTTTTACTCAGGAAAAAGATCTTGGAGTCGTGCTTAGTTCTCTGAAAACATCTGCTCAATGTGCAGTGGCAGTCAAAAAAGTTAACAGAATGTTAGGAACCATTAGGAAAGGGACAAATAATAAGACAGTAAATATCATAATGCCATAATATATATCTGTGGTACACCTACACCCGGAATACTGTGTGCAGTTTTGGTTGCCCCATCTCAAAAAAGATCTCATAGAATTGGAAAAAGTACAGCGAAGGGCTACAAAAGTTATTAGGGTATGGAACAGCTTCCATAGGGAGAGAGATTATAAAGACTCAAACTGTTCAGCTTAGACAAGAAATGCCTTAAGAGAGGTATGATAGAGGTCTATAAAATCATGAACTGTGTGGAGAAAGTGAATAGAGAAGTGTTATTTACCCCTTCACATAACACAAAAACCATGGGTCACAGAATGAAATTAATAGGCAACAGGTTTAAAACACAAGGAACTACTTCTTCACACAACGCACAGTTACCTTGTAGAACCGTTGCCTGGGGATGTTGCAAAGGACAAAAGTATAACTAGGTTTAAAAACAAACACCCATATAAATTCATGGAGATTAGGTCTATCAGTGGCTATTAGCCAAGATGGTCAAGGATGCAACTCCATGCTCCGGGAGTCCGTAAGCCTCTGAGTGCCGGAAGCTGGGAGTGGACCACAGGGATGGATCACGCGATAAATTGCTGTGTTCTGTTCATTCCCTCTGAAGCACCTGGCACCGGCCACTGTCAGACTACTAGGCACGATGGACCACTGGTCTGACTTTGTATGGCCGTTCTTATGACGAAGGTACTCATACCTAAGCCACCGCATGCAGGAAGTGCTTGTACACAGGATCCCAGACGTGTTACTTTTATGTCTAGGTCTCATTCTTTCAGAATTATTTCCCAGTTTTTGATGTCCATGCAACCTGATTGAGAGTAAAAGAATAATAATAATAAAAATAATACTCAGCTGAAGCAAACCAGATGAGTCAACTTTAGGCAGGTCACTAGGAAAACATTCTCAAGAGGGAGATTAATTGGACAAAGGAATAGACTGGCAGGGAAGGTGCTTGGTACATCATCACTGCAAATTTTAGAAGAGGTTAGACAGACTGTTTGCGGTGATAATGGAGATCAGCCTGGACAACTCAAGTAGTCTTTTCTGGATCTGCTTTCCAGGACTGTTACTGTCTCTCCACAGAAAGTGTGCATGACGTACAGTGGGAGTAAAGAGCTGCAGAAGAGGGATTATAGGGGATTTAATGAAGTTAAGATCCAAGTATTTTTGTGTATTCAGATACACACTGGTATGTAGCACATTCTAAAATAAAATATTTCATCTGAATTTTGCTCTTATTAATGGTACTACTGAAATACTCCAGCCTCTTGGGATACATATTATACCATTCTGCTCTGTGTAATACTCCTTACGCTACAGGGATACACACATACTGTATTTCTCTCCATATTTAGAGCTGGATGTGAGCCAATAGCTATATAAACTCAGAAGCAAAGTCTGGAGGTGTGGAGTACACTCGATTGTCTACACACAGTCAATATGCAGTGACTGAAAGACAGAACATGTAGTTAAGAAACCTTCATACCAAGGGAGTCAAGTCATCCTGCAGAGAGAGCTGAATTACATTTTGAATTATTGTCTGTGAGTTGGGTTAAACCTATGGTTACATACGTCAAGCAATTAGCAGCAGAACTCCCACTGATGTCAATGGGAAGTTTGCATACTGATCAAATATAAAATATGAGATTTAGAGACAGTGTAAGCCAGTGGATAAGGCACCAGACTAGGAATCAGAAGACCTGGGTTCTATTCACAGCTCTGTCTCTGACCTATTGTGTGACCTTGGACCTTCATCTGTTTGTGACTTTCCTTCCCCTCTCATCCTTTGTCATTGGATGTTAAGCTCTTTGGGTCAGGGACGGTCACTTGCTGTTTGTACACCGACTAACACTACAGGAGCCTGAGCTCAGTTGGAACTTCTAAGTGCTAATTTAATATAAATAACCTCACCACCATCTCCAGGGCATATGGGAATAAAAGCGGCTCAGGAAGTATCTTCTTTGTGCCAGTTCTATCGAGGGAACCACTCTGTACTTTGTCCTGAGGCACAAAGATCCTTGTACCATAGCAATACCTTGGAACTGAGTTACTGTTTGTTCATCACCTGTCAAGAACCTGGGTGAAGGGAGGCAGGACCAGTGGCAGGAGCTTGGAATCCAGGAACTGAAGCCAGGGGTCGGAGCCACTATCAGGGTCAAGAGTCAAGCTGAGAGTCAAGCCGGAGTCAGAGTCAGGGGTTAAGCCAAGGGTCAAAGCTAGAGACAAAGTCAGGAATCAGGCCAAAGGTCAATACCAGGTATCGGGGGGCGTGTGGAGTTCTAGGGGTTGATTGGGAGTCAGAACCCAAGTCAGAGCCGAGGTCAGTATCAGGAGTTCAGAAATAAAGTAGTAAGGTGGTCATGGCATTTTACTAGAGATCCGCATTATTCTCTGTACACTTCCGGGGACACCCCATGGGCTTACTAGGGTCAAGGAGTCCATAAGGGACTACTAAAACCAATGTCAGTCAGCTCACTCGATGGGGAACTTCCTGTGGTAATCAACTTCTGTGGACTGTGAGTTGTAGGGAGTGGCCAGATTACAGCTGACACCAGGTGGCGATGTGGGCATGTTGATTGCCTGGTAACCTGCAGGCCCGGATTCAAGTCCCACCAATCTGTACAAGCATCTTGTTGTCATCTCCAACAACAGTAGGAGAACACGTTTCCCTTCAGGACCTCAACTATTTCTGCCCTTTGTTTCTCTCTTTTTACCAACCTTGTTTCTCCCTCTGCTTTTCATTTCTTGCAGCAATCTTCAATTGCCCCTTCCACGTCCCAATCCCACTCAAATCATCAGCATTTTCAACTTCCAACATTTAAAGAGCCATCATTAGGCTGCAGAGTTAACACCCCAATGAGACTGAGAGTTCAGGGAGCTCACATCTCTTAGAGTCATTCATTCAGGCTGCCTGCAGACTCAGGGAGACAACACTGCATCAGTTTAAACTCAAGTCAGATTTGGAACGCATTCGTTGCAAACAAGAGAGCTAAAAATGTGGTTTTTATTTTTAAATCAATCTCTTTCTTTGGAATCTGAACAAACCATGGGGCCGCAAACATACATCAAGCTAATGGTCAATGGGCTGGATCCGGGAGTTTGACGCCACTTTTTTACACTGTTCAAACTACAGTAGTCAAGTCCAAAAAATCAGCCTGGCACTCAATGCAAAGCCACAGTCCTCCTGAACAGCGCCAAGAGACACAAGGGCACAGCCGACAGTATGGCAAGAGAACCTCCGGAGGCCATGTCAGCTGTTCATAGGAGGTTAACATTAACGAATAAAACTTTTTTATAATAAATAATGTAGTTGATAAGTATGCTGCAATTTAACGCATATCACATTAACTACAGAGGATCACATAAGATACTGCGTATAGGTTAGCTCTGTACCTGCTTTGATCAGAGTTGATCAAACTCTGAGTTGCTGCAAATAGCTCATTCAATTACTGAAAATTCACTGAGTTAGAGAATTTTTGAAAACAATATTATTCTGGTTTTAAAGAATCCAACAATCCTTCAGTGGGGCCCTAGAGGGAGAGAGGCTGTTTAAAAAAAGAAATACATTTATCTCTGGAAATGCTAAGAAACAGGATTATTTATTTATTTTTTTATATTTAAGATTAGCATTTCACTTTGAAGCCATCAACATCCTATCAAGTCCTCCAGGAAAGGAACGAAACTCTCAAGATGTCAAAATAAGTCTTTGAAATACAGGCTCATGCTTAATTTTCACATGAATACACTGCGAGTGAGTCAGACTAGATAGATAAAACAAATGTAAGGTACTTATATGGCCCTGTTACTGTAGTATCTCAGCATCATCTTTATTTATCCTCACTATACCAGTAAGGCAGTGCTATTACATCCACTTTACAATCAGGGAATGGAGGTACAGAGAGACTTGGCCAGGGACATCCAGGAAGTCTGTTGCAGAGCAGGAAACTGAACCCAGGTCTCTGGAGTTGCAGGTGATGTTCTACTAAGTCGCCTCTATTACCTGATCACAGAATCATTTGGGTTGGAAGAGATGTAGTGGGGTCACCTCGTTCACTCTTCTTGCAGCAGGGCTTAATTTCATTTTTGTCGTCTGATGTGGGAAGAAAAACAAAATTCCAGTCTTTATGTTGGGGGGAGGTAAGATACGAACATTTTAGGGATGAGGTTTTATTTCCTGGTGACTGCCAATTAAACTAACTAGCCCCATTGAAAGGACTGATATCTGAAAATCCTAACTGTGCTTTCCCCATTAAGTGCTTGTCTACACACAGAAATAACCCAGAATAGATCCCAGTGGGAACACTCTTATTCCACACTAAGAGTGTTTTTGTGCACTTCAGGTTAGTCCACAAGTGGATTAAGCTAACCCACACAAAGGTAGTCTTAGTGCAGAATCAGTGTCCACCTGGGGAGCAGCTGTGGAATAGCTACTGTGCTTTAAATTCACACTCTAGCTTATTTCACATAGCTTCCCCGTGCAGACAAGTCCTAAGATAAACAACTCACTTCTCTCTCGTCTCTAGATCTCCTCCCAATTATCCTCTTGTTTCTGTGCATCTCTTTCCCTGACTCTTAACCCAGGCATCCCCAATCCCTCTCCCATCCAGACAGCATAGGACCCATCCCAGCATCTTCCTCCAGCATGACTGCTGCTCTGTTCTGTAACTGATGGGAAAATATGCACTACAGCATAGTGCTGCTTCCTTATTTTCATTTCACTGGCATGGTTTTCAAGACTGAAACATTGCTCAGGCTCCATAACAGGCCTCGGTTCACCTGTATTGTCACAAGTGACAACTACAGAGATGTGAACTGTAAAAATAGAAGTGTTTCTTCCATCTGAAAGAACTGCCTACGCTTCTCTCATATAGCGGAAGGATGGTGCAATGCTGTTTCTTTGTTGTTGCCCTAGCCTGGGATTTGACAGAGCCGGATTCAATTCCCTCCTCTGCAACAGACTCCCTGGGTAACGTTGGGCAAGTCACTTAGCCTCCTGGGCCTCAGCTCCCCATCTGCCCAATGGGGATAATATCCCTGCCTGGCCTCCCACGAATGCAGTAAGGACAAACACTTTAAAAGACTGAGAGGTCCTCTGATACTTTGGTAAGGTGGCTACCTAAGAACCTTCAAGAGAGAGCTCTGACAAGATACGGCCTTGTCCCAGTCTGGCTGTATTCCCAAACTCGTGAGAAGGCACTCGTTCATTCATCGCACATCTCTGGCTTTACGTTCACAGAGTAAATGCAAATGTACATTCCACAGGAGTCTGTAGAACTAGGGAAAGGAGCACTTGGAGTTCATACACAGCCAAGACCCCAGACTTAACCTTCTAATTTTGAAAACTGATTTCTCAGTTACACCTCTACCCCGATGTAACGCTGTCCTCGGGAGCCAAAAAATCTTACCGCGTTATAGGTGAAACCGCGTTATAGCGAATTTGCTTTGAGCCGCCGGAGTGCGCAGCCCTGTCCCCCGGAGCACTGCTTTACCGCGTTCTATCCGAATTCATGTCATATCAGGTCGCGTTATATCAGGGTAGAGGTGTATCGCCCATCAACAGTAATGATGGCCTCACAGGTCAAAATATCCAACGCATTTCCCAGGATTTGTTGTTAGTTTTTTGTGTCAATGCAATAAGAATGAAAAGCTGACTCCTGCACAGCCAGCATGCAAACTCTGCCATTTCTTCCCAGAAAGCTCACTTTCACTCTAGAACAGTCAGGTACATCTGCAGTCACATCTGCCCTGTCCTTGTCTGAGCCTGGCCTGCAGCAACAGCACTCTATGAAAAGAGGTTGGGTGAAAAACCCAGCTTCCTGGCCACTATTTCTGCTCGCAATAGAAAAGGCTGTGTAATACGCTCTCGCAGAGCACAGAATGGCTGCCATGTGTTAGTGTGTACCAGTAACTCCCAGCTGTGTTAAGTGCTTTGGAATAACTGAAGGTGAAAGATACAAGAGAAAACAAAATTCAGTACTATTCTGCCATCGATCCAGTTTAAAACTTACCAAAAACCCTTATAAAAGTGATGCTAGAATTAGCAATATTCACCTTCCAAACACAAACATGTATTTGGATTTCATCTCTGCGCTGAGAAGGGAAAAGAAAGTTTCTCATTTCATATTTCACAACCAATCCTTCCCCATATCCACTTCATTCACAGCAATGTGTGATTAATTTCTTACTGACTGATCCATTTCGCAAAAGTATCAAGCTTATGTGCTTATCTGATTGATGGCTATGGAGACCAACACTGGGGTGGGGGACAGTGGAGCAGATAGCTGCAGTCAAAAATTGCTGAGATAGAGGACAAGGAATTCAAAACCACCTCCACTGCCAAATTTAAAGTTATCACTACCCAAAAAATGGGGAGAAAGAAGATGCCCGCCACGATATCAAAATACATTACACAAGGAGCACTATACTAATTGGACTGGGTAGAAGCATCGAGGGAAGCTGGCTTGGAGTGGCCATCCTGTGTGATTCTGGAGTCTGTCTCTGCCATGTAATTTAGGCTTAATGTGTCAGACAGAACATGGGTGTCTCAATCTTGAGTATTTCTAAGGCCCCTAGAATTATGGTATCTAAACATCAACTACAAGGTCTTTTCTTCTGCCCCAGCAAGCTAACAAAATCCAATCGTACGTCCTACAAACACATTCTGAGAATCATCATGGTTACCTTGCTATGGGCACCTTTTCAAGCAACGTGTATTCTCTTTCTTTTTAGAGCTGTGTTCTGATTGGAAACACAGTATTTATTCCAGCTCTAGCATAACCACAGGCTGATGCAGTAACCATATCACTGCTTCTCATTAGGATGCCATCCCTCTGCTGATTCACTCTAGTTATCTCACTTTGTTTTCTGCAGTCAGACTCTGGGCTGATGGCTTCAAGAATTTTTTCCACAACTTTCTAAATCCTTTTCCTGGTCAGTGCATTGCGTAACTGTCCCATTTAATACTCTGTATTTCAGTGCTTTGCACTCACACTTACACAAATGTATTCAATGTACTGTCCCTTTAAAGAAACATAGTTCAGTGGTTTGAGCATTGGCCCGCTAAACCCAGGGTTGTGAGTTCAATCCTTGAGTGGGCCATTTAGGGCTCTGGGGCAAAAAAATTGGTCCTGCTAGTAAAGGCAGGGGACTGGACTTGATGACCTTTCAAGGTCCCTTCCAGTTCTATGAAATAGGTATATCTCTCTATATTATATTATATTATATTACTCTGAAATGGGCTGCCTTGTGCCTCCTTATTTTCTTACAGCTATTAGCACTTGTGTAGGAAAGGTCTATGCAAGTAATACGCTTCCCACAGTTGGAATTAAAAAAAAGTGCGGAAAATACTCTTAATCTTCTGTTACTTACTGTAGGAGGTACAGGGATATTTGTCTGTCTCTGGGAGTTTTAAAAGGTTAAAAAACAGCATTTCAGAAAAAAACAGAGGCACTTAGAAAAGCTACAGTGAAAGCAGATAAATTTATCAAATAATCCAGTTATCAAAGCCATTCATGAGTGTGGTCCTCAAGAGAAATGGGAACTCAAGGGAGCAAACTCACCAATGAGAACTGATGGGGGAAAGCGACAGAAGCAGATACTCCTGAGAGACACTCCCCACTGCAGCACCTAAGGGGAAAGGGACTTAGATACCACAGTCATGAACATGGCAAAAGAACATAAACAGGAAGAAAAGCCTCAACCTTTTCTTCCCTGCCACCATTTTTTCTTGAACTGGAACAGCTTGCTACTATTTCCTTTGACCAAGAAAACTGTGATGCAAAGTAACGTAAGAACTGAAGGAAATCAAATTTGAGAAAGAAGAAAAGACCAGGTATGTCCTAGGTGTTTCTGATACTCACCTCATCCCACTCTCAGCCCAAACCCAAACTATACCCTGGCCTCACTCTCTTTAGCACTGAATGCAGGTGAAAACAATTAAAACAATGGGCAAAAAAACTATTTGATAGTAAAACAGTGTAGGCACATAATACAACATTCAGTGCAGACGTGGTGACACTTGCCAAACTTCATCTAAGCTCCTTCTCTATATAAGGAGCTCTTTTACCCATAATACCATTACTTCTTATCCAGGCTAATAACCTTCAATGTGAAACTTATCAAATCCTATTTGGAAATTTAAGTAAGCGATATTCCGGACATTTCCCTACTTCAGAAATAATACCTTGAAAGAACCCCATGCATTTACCTATATATATCTATATCTATCTATCTATATCTATATCTATATATCTATATCTATCTATCTATCTGCTAACAGGCCAAATATTTAATCTACCATTTGCATTTCATATGATAAGTTGTGTCCTGTAACACTTTACTCCAAACTTCCTACCCCACCACCAACTTTACTCAGCGTAAGAATCTTGTTACTATAAAAGTATACTTTTGTACAGTGCAAAATCAAAACCAGTGCACAGGTGGATTCATCCTTCAAACAGAATGATTCGTCAGCCCTTATTTTAAAAAACACTGAAAATTATTTGAAACATTCTATGGTTTGCCTCTCTAAATATTACAACAATTCTTCAGAATCTACAAATGGTAGAACCAGTCATCTCCCTGACAAGGCAAAGTTCATCCCCAAGGGCAAGATTTGAAACATTTATTTGCCATCTAATAGCCTGAAAACTATGCCTACTAGCCCGGGTGAAACACACCTGTGCAACCACAACACCCCAGCAATTTAGAGGCACAGTTGCATACCGTATTTAACTGTAACACTATTCAACTTCCCACTTAAATTTCCTTAAATATAGTTTATTACTTGGACAGGGCAAATAGCAGAAATTAGGAACATTTCTTTTCTTCAGGTACAAAGGTCTGAATTACAACAAAATGGGTTTTCAGCCTTTTGCAGCTCTGGGGACAGAAGCCGTCTGGTCAGTCACTGGCAATAGGAGAATGCTACTCCCTCAAAGAGCTTGCCAGCTGAGACAACTTCCACAGCCAAGTAAAATGTTATGCTGACATTGATAACGTAACTAATGAAAAAACACACTGGATTAATCTGAATTAGAGCATAAATTCTTATTATGAAGGGGCCAATCCTATCACCAAAATCAAATTAAA